ATCCGTATCGGTCTATCACTAATTCTTACATCAGGTCACATTGAGTCCACACCCCAAGAGATCATCATTCTTATCGAACACAATCCTTCATCTTGCACATGAACTCAGTCAGTTTTTCTTTTCCTAAAGCATGGACCGATGGGAGTCCTGACTAATAGATGGCTCATGTTTGGTTGCAGGCTCCTGACTGTCAAAAAGCCTTCACCCCGCCCAAGCAGACAGTCTCAATGGAGTATAGGCTTACTTTGAGGCAAGCCTCATATGTGGACAAGATGTCTGCCAAGAAAACAGCTTGAAATACTTATTTTTACAAACGGTTTGTCAAAGTCAGAAGTCGTGCTTCCATCAGCAGTGAGGTTGGCCCAGGGTACACTATCATAGTATCATAGTAGCAAATGAGCATGAACTCTTAATGATTTTGCCATAAGTGTCGGATTAGTCTTTTTTTCGATCTGAACAAGAGTGTTTTAAGTTTTAGGATTTCAACTTTTCATTATGGAGTTAATGAACATGCTATTTTTGAGCTCCAACAAATGAAAAGGCTTTGCTTTAACTGTTAACTTTTACTGTACTGTAAGTAAGTAATTTGAGAAGTTTGAACCTTCAAATGTTCACGTGACAAACTGGTTCCTTAGTGCTTCTGTGTGTGTGTGGTCAGTCGACCCACTCACCCCTCACTTAGTGTCACCTCCTGTTTCCTCCTCTTTGGTCGGACGGAGCGCTTGGCTACTTGTCTTTGTGCTCCCTCTCTCTGCTGTCCAAATGCATCTTCATCACCACCATCATTCTCGTCACCGCCAATTTATTCAGTTTAAGACACTGTGGAGGGAGACTTAGAAAAGACAGCAGAACTTAAAATATCTCAGCTCCTCTACGCTCTGTTTGGCAGAAGGCATTGAAAAGTTCCTCTACCTTATTATAATGTTATTTCTGACTTAATCTCGGAACCCATCGGTTGTCATCTGATGACGATATAGCCTCTGGGGCAACAGCCAATGTTTCGGGGCTTCCGGTTTAGCCAATGGATACCCTCTTCCTTGCGCCAGTCATTATTTACAGTCCGATTAGCAACTTGAGACACCAGAATAGAGTTGGAGCTAGGAGAGGACATCTACGATCGGACTGTATCGCAAGTTGCCAGGGTACACTGAATAACTGTTTAAATTGTCATCACATGATAGCCGAGTTATTTTACTTCCAGAGCTGTGCCAGCAGTGCCTGCATGTCACGCATTGCGGGCAAGCTTCTAATGCCCTCACCCAGTGAGCAAGCTAAGTTAGCTGCTGGGTGCTAATCATGGCTTTCTTAAAACGTAATCAGTACTCAAAATTTAAAGTCTGGCCTCAAGAAAACAGTGCATTATTGCTAATGGTGTGTCCAAAATAACAAGGTCAGGGGTCTCCAACATGGTGCCCGAGGGCTCTTAATGAGATATGTATTTTTTCATCACCCTTGCAAGGAAGTTTACAAATGAGTTCCATGGGGTCAAAACATTAAAATAAGTTACTGATATGTTTTTATTGATTAGAAAGTATATTGAGACCCATGCTTTATTACAGCTTCTGAGTTAAAACTATGTGTTCCTATTCTGCCTTTCTGCATTTGGCGTTCATTCTCTGCGTCCCAAATGGTGGTTTAGAGATTCATGACCTATCAATTAGTTGGTTCATCTTGATTAGGCGAGCTGAGTAAATTGGATCTCAGTTCATATCAGTAGATTCCTCATAAGGACTTTCAGTGTTAATGCCACGCCTAGACAAAAAATAACACACCCACAATTCCAAATACGATTGGTTCAACCCTGAATATGAAAATGACTAAAAGGGAAAATACTACGATATCCTTTGAAAGCATCAATATAACATGGATGTCCATCAAGTATACAGAAAGGTCGGAGACCCCTGCACTAGAGAAAAGCACAAAGGATGACCAAAAACATGAGAATTTGGTGTCCACAGCATATTTAATGCAAAACCAAAGATAATTTTTGTGCTATTAAAGGTCACCAAAATCATCCTCTTGAGACCATGAATATCTACAGCAGGTTTTGCTGCTAGGAAGATAACTGCTTCAGAGTCTGGGCTTGGACTGTCACATGGGGGACCAATGAACAATAATAAGACCAGGGGACACTGAACTAAAACCATAGCCAGTGTTATTACTACTGCTGCTCATACTACTACTGATTTTTAATGATGTAGCACTTGAATATTAAAACCATTAGGGAAGAGAGCGAGAGAGAAATTGAGATGTGATTCATTACTCTGCTCGGGTGAGTTCACTCTTCTCCTCCTCTCTTCAGTCTTTCTCTTCATTACATTCGCTCCATTCTTTCTTCCTGCTCATTTCTCCATCTCTCATTCCTTTCCCTTTTTCGATCATAATTGTTTTTCATCATCATTTGTCTTTTTTTTCTCCAAGTTGTCGCAAATGTTTCTTTATTTTTTTCATCTGTATCCCCTATTTGTCTCCTAAATGACAGAGGATGACTAAGACTCCATGGGGTTTTTATTGTGCTTTCTTTGTGTGTGTGCGCGTGTCTGTGCGTGTGTGTGTGTAGGAGGTACAGTGCTAATAGTCCCTCTCTCCCTGACAGACTAATGACTAGTTTGTGCTTCTCTCTCTCTCTCTC